ACCTCCGGCCGCAATGCGGTGATAAATCAGGTGGACCTCGGGATCAGTTTGTTGAATGCGCACCCAATCTTGTGTCTCCGTCCCAAAAATGAATGCTGACAACAGACGTCGGGCACTCGCCATGATTATGTCTGCGCCGGGAGGGTGCGTCTGCGTTTAGGTTTTTCTTTCCTGGTCGGTGTTGACAGTGGAAGTTGAATGCCTGTATCTGTTCTTGCCATATGGCAACCTGACCCTCTGGTTCTCTGAAGTTCTGAAGCCATCGCAGAGACTGATGGTCTGTTTGAATGAGAAACTTCTTCCCCAAGTGATAGTGTCTGAAACATTTGACGTACGTCACTAGAGCCAACATTTCCTTGGGAGTTGTGCAGTAGTTCCTTTCGGGCTTGCTTAGACAGCGGCTGGCATAGGCAATCACTTTTTCATTCCCATCGTGGCACCGCTGCGACAAAACAACGCCGATTCCCGTGTCGCTAGCATCCGTGTCCAAAATAAATTTGCCGCCCATCTCGGCTACATCAGGAAACGTCAGGATGGGCGAAGGCGTCAGTCGCCCTCGCAACTCCTCAAACGCCTTTTTGCACTCCGGACTCCACTGGAACTTCCGGTTTTTCTCGGTCAGACGATGTAGAGTAAAAGCAATTTGTGCGTAGTCTCACGAATTGACGATAGTAGGATGTTAAACCAAGGAACCATCGGGCGTCGGTCACCGAGGTCGGCTCTGGCCAGGTTTCTATCGTTCGTATTTTCTCTGGATAGGTTTTTATACTCGTCTCGCTTATGATATGGCCCAGGTGGTTAACTTCCTTCTTCAACAACTCACACTTTTCTGGCTTCAGCTTCAACCCGGTCGTTTGTACCGCAGTGATAACTTGTTCCAGGTTCGACAAGTGTTTGTCTAGGGTCCTTCCGATATCGTCCACATACACCAAGCATTTTGACGGTTTGAGGTCGCCTAGTACCATACCCATTAGTCTCTGAAAGATAGCGGGAGCGTTCGCGAGTCCAAAGGGCATGGTTTAGAACTCGAAGATTCCGTTCGGTATACAGAAAGCAGTCTTCTCTCGGTCCGCTGAATCGACTTCCCCCTGTCAACATCCAGATGCCAAGTCTAGCGTACTGAAATACCTGGCGCCACCCAGTGACTCAACCGTATCGTCGATCCTCGGTAGGGGGGAAGCTATCCTTCTTGGTTACTTGGTTCAGCCGGCGGTAATCAACGCAGAGACGTAAGGCTCCGTTCTTTCTTTTAACTAGCACAATTGTCGGGGCCCAGGGGGACTGGGAAGGTTTGACCACTCCCTCGCGCAGCATGTCCGTGATGATCTTTCGTAGTTCCTCACGCGATTGTACCGGGACCCGTCTTGGCGCTTGGCGTATCGGGGGGCTCCTTGGGTATCGATTCGATTTTTGACGAGACTCGATCTCCCTAGTCGGGTGCCGTCCCACGCGAAAACATCCCAAAATCGATTAATGAGTTTTTTTACGAACGGCCGATACGCGGAGTCTGTTCGTCTAAGGAGTTGTGCTGGTCCGTTTTGTGACTCGACATTGCTGACGGTTGGTTGTCCATGCCCGGGTACTTTTACGGCTTGCATGAGGGGAATTTCTTTCCCCAAAACCATTAGTGTGTTATTCATCAAGTTTGAGACGCATTTCTGTACAGAGAGGAAATCGACGCCTAAGACGACGTCCCATGGAAGTTCGGGCGTGACCACCATCTGGTGCTGTAGGGTTTCTCGGGCAACCTTCAGGACGATGTTGTCGCTTCCTGTTGCGTGAATGCACGTCCCGTTCACCGCGTGTATTGTCGTTTTTATTTTCGTGGTAGGGAGACTAGGACACAGCCGTGGTGAGACAAGACTACACGAAGCTCCCGAGTCAATCAAGGTGGAACAATGTTTACCGTTAACAACTACTGGCAAAAGGGGTATCGTGCAAATGGGGTTGGATACAGTAGTAATACACAGAATAGGATTGGTCGACTTACGTAGTGGGTAAGTCTGCGGCCGATGCGGATTGTCGGAACGCCACGGTCGTCTGGGTGTCTCGTCTTGCCATCGTGGTGGGGCATACCTCTGAGTGGAGTATGATGCAACCCCCCGAGTATGACGCATCTCATTTCGGTTGGGCCATTCGCGATCTCTCGTGGATATGTCCCTTTCGGTTCCGTTTCCCAGTTGAAACGCACGCCAAATGGCCTCACTCAGAGAGTTTGGAGGGCGTCTTTGGAGATCAACTTTTGCGTTTTTGTTCCGCATCCCGGTGACGAAGCGTTCCAGAGCAAATTCTTCGCGGAAGTTGGTTGAGCGATGGGGAAAAGAGGAAGCTACCAGGGATCTAAGTTCGTTGGCATATTCGCGTACTCCTTCGTTGGGTGCTTGGTTCCGGTTCCAGATTGTATCCTATGCGGAAACCGGGTCTTCTAAGTCTGGGAACAGAGAGTCGATAGTCTCCCAGATTTTCCGCGGTGGACACTCCTCATCCACGTGTTGTTGTAAGACGAGTTTCTGGACGCGATCGCTCAGACGATCCAAGATTCGGATGCTCTGGTATTCAGGGGGAACTCCTAATAGATGTCTCTTCGTTTTTGCCTTCCACAGAGTAAGATTCGTATCAGCTTCGAACATCGATAGCGGTTCATATTGCTGATAACTGGGGGGCAGAGTTGTGAGAAGTGGCAGTTTAGTTCGAATATCTGAGGAGATCATTTCGTTGTTTTGCCGTTTTTCGTCGTCCGAAGATGTGTCGGATGCATATTTGGGGGATCCCATCCCCGTCGCCATATTTGTAGTGCACAAACGGCACTTGGTCTGAATACGTACGGATGGTTCACCAGGTCTGGAATGGAAGACAAACCGCTGCGTAGTATTACCCGATAAACGAACAAAGCAGCAACCAGGCACCAAACTCTCGATCGGTATACGAAGCGAGAAGACACAAACTGGATGGCAAGGTTTATTCGGCACGAGTCAACAACAGGGGGTTGTTTACAAATTGGGTCAATTCGGGGGGCGCGGTTCATGTTCAGGCGTTTCGTCTGTTGTTCTTCTAATCTCAGACGGGCTATTGGTCATAGTTGCGTTCACGCCTGTGGGTGTAAAGAGGATGGATAATGGTACACTTAGTCATATAGTGTTAAACGCATTACGGTATGGGCCTATGTTGACTGTCGCCATTACAGCCAACATATTCCACATCCGGAGAGCTCATTAGCTGCACATTGGCGCATTAAAACGCATCGTCGCAAAGTTCAGCTTCACGAATTCGGGGGGATTGATGGGCTTGGGATTCGAAGTTTTTGAGTAGCCCGAAGTAATCTTGTGCTTTGACTTCTCAGTATAGAACGGAAGTCCTCAGTGTAGATCAGTTCAGTTCAGATCGGTATGCACATGACGAAAGTGGTCGAGGCAGGACAGAACAGATCAGGATAGAGCAGGATAGTTCAATGACTTGCGGCGGAGCCATAGGCGGTTCAATTTCGGGCATAAATTGGCCGAGAAGCACCACGGCACTGCGAAAATTGTGTTATTTCGTTCAGGCAAATGAGAAGTAGTGCGGTTCTGGTAAAGGAAAATACACTTCTGATGGCTATACAGTGACGATGATTGTACAAAGAAAAGGAGCAATCCAACAGTGGGCAGCTTAGAGGATGACCTACTAGAGGTGATGCACGAATAGGCGCTCACCCAGCACGTCACCAATCCCACCCGATGGCTACTGGGTAAATATCCTAGCCAATACGACTGTGCTCTTCCCTCGGCCATCGCCTTCTATGAGCACGTCTAGAGTGTACACATGAAGGATTACAGCGTCCTGCGACCCATTCACCAGCCATCAGGATTCACGCTAATGGAGTAAACCACTTTCCTACTGGAGGATATGGAAAAGAATCTGGTTAATTTAGA